TCTTGCATGATTATACTAAGCTTGGTGCTGAAGATAACATAGTGAATAAGACAGAGTTCAGTTATTAAGAAACTGATTTGCTGAAGATGGTTCCATATCTACCATTTAAAGAAAAGAAGTCAGCCAGGCCCAGTGTTCAGTGTCTATCCTAGCTACTCCTTAAATCTTTGAGGGGTATGCTGTTTCCAAAGTTTAAAATTTAATTTTTTTATGGAAAGGCTCCTTCAGGGTAGTATTTTAAAAGACATTTGTCAGTTAAGTTGATGCTAGCTGCTGTAACAGATAAATAGAAAACTATTAGTAGTTAGAACAATATGCAAATTCACCTTTCCTTTCCATAAGAGCTCAATCCAGGACTTCCTGCTCAGATGACTTTGGTTGGCCATTCTCCAAACCATGACTCAGGGACCTAAGTACCTTCTATTCTGTGGCTTTGCCATCTTCAGCATATAATCCCAAATGTGACTGTGGTGCTCAAGTCTGTTTTAGTCAATTGGATTAAACTGTGTGGTACATCACATGAGGATGTTTTCACAGGCCAAGATATTACAGGGCAAAAATCTCTTCCAACCAAATTAACTTGGCCTGGATTTATTCTCATAGAATACCAAGATGCAAAGAAGTTGTGAAAGAGTGTCCAAATAGGTAACTAGAGGGAAGAGAAGGCAAGTTCTTTGAATAAGATGAATCTTCACTTTTATAACATTTGTACTAATGCTACTTTTAGAGCAAAAAAGCAATGTTTTTGCTCACACACTTTATTAAAAAATTTTGTTCCAAAGTTTGATTCCACAATTCAAACACAGGAGAGATGACACAGATGTCATCCACTAGAGTTTATGGCATCACTGATTTATTGAAAGAAGTATTTAGGTTGACTCCCAAAGGCACTGAATGAAGTTGAAAAAAGGCTAAGAGTATGGGAATAAAGCCATGGAACACATTGTAAAATTGAAATTGTTTTCTTATTGTCTGAGGAGAAAAAGAAACTACAATAGGTATCTCTGCAGGTACTTGAAGACCACTGAAAGAAAAGCAGACAGTGAGTCTTCCAGTTTAACCAGGTCCTTATTTCTCATTGAGATGTTCTAATTATTAAAAACACATACTTGAAAGTGATCCTACAATCATGCTTGGTCTTTTTTGAATACGCCACATAATTTTCAATGATAACCTTTTATGAAGAACCTTGAAAAATTTACAAATTATCTTTTGATTTTTCTTTCAAATCACAAATCTAGTATGTATTGCTATTATTATTTCCACTAGTATTATAATGTTTACTCTTTTTTACAAATATTGACTGACCTCCTAAAACTATGAGGACTGGGCTAAGATGCCAAGGAATGAGGTAGGATAAGATGATGTCTCTGCCCATAAGTATCTTATGGACCCCTGGTAAGATATTCTAAGGAGAAAATAGGTCAGTTCACTAAAGGCAACATCTCCGATAGCTAAAAGAGAGAATTATAACCATGCATAAAGAACACAATCAGGCAATGACACCTGACCAAGGACTCAAAATCCAGTCTTGGTTTTCCAACTAAAGTAGCCCGTGGAAGATTAAATGCCAAATTTTGGAAATCAAACAGACATGGATCCCATTCTCCCTTGGAAAATGAATGGAGATAACAAGAAGCAAATGATTATTCACCTATATTCTTGAGTGTGAGGAGAATCTAAAAAAAGATCACTAGATAAGGCTACATAGTTATCACATTATTTAAGACACATCTAAAAAAATAGAAGGCCAAAGGTATAGTTTGCTCCAATTCTATGCCCATTTTGCCAAATTTCTTTCGACCTATGCAAGCACATTCTTTTTTCTAACCACTTTTCTTTAGTTCTGTCCACATATTGCCCATCATGTTTGCCCAGTTTCTCAAAGCAAGTGGGTAAAATTAACTCAGCAGCAAATTTTGCTGGCCTGAAACATAAAACATATCAACCAGCTGGCAAGTCAGGTGACTCAGAAACTTTGGCATCTCAGTTCTCCTCCTCTAACACACTGGACTTCACATGTCTCCAGAAGTGCTTCCATTCCCACCTTTAATCCCTTTAGTGTGTCCTTCTAGATGTGGTCTCTGAGCTCTGAGAATTAGTGTATTGGTTTAGTTCAGATTTAGCTCATGTCTCTAGCATGTGACGTCTTAGGCTTAGACTTGAGATAAACACATAGAAACCTAAAATTTTATAGATATTTGAACAAAAGGACAGGAATATGCAGGGTTTCACAGAGTTGCCTTTGAATATACTATGGGTTAGTTTCGTAATTACATTCAAGTTTATGAGTATATGTTCTCAAGAAAACAATACTAATATGTAACATGTAATTAACTTGGGGCTCATCTTTATCATAATGTAACAAATCAGGTATGAACCAATGAAGGAGAGAGTGAAGGAACTGAAAAAAAGACCATGCCATTCTTTATGTAGGACTGTACTGAGAAAACATTGTTCCGAGTCTAGAAAACAGTTTTGGTTCTCATGGCCAGAAATATTCCCAGGAAGCATATAAGAACTGAAGATTTAGAGTCAGATGTTTTGGGTTCCTATTGTGGCTCCACAACTCAATAGCTCCCTGTGCTTCTGTGTTTTTCTTTTGTAAAAGAGGACAATAGTACGACCTATCACTGCTTTGGTCACTGATGTCTCTAGCCACTAAATAGGGGTGGGTACATAGTAGGTGTTCAATAAACATAAAAAATGAGGGTATTTCTCATTGGACAAAGTGAAAATTGTTTTTGTAAGTGCTAAGGACAATATCTGATAGACAAGAAACATGATGCAATTTAGCAACTTTGTATTTTCCTTATTAATGTTATCATTATTATCCTTTTTATTAAGTTGAGAGAAGTTTCCTTTGAAAGCATCTATTCTCTGGCTTCTTGTTAGAAAGATGTATTTGTCAAGGCTCTCTATAGGGACAGAGTTAACAGGAGAATATATTTGTATGTGAGAGGGAGTTTAATAAGGAGAATTGACTGACATGGCCACAAGGTAAAGTCCTACCACAGGCTGTCTGCAAGTTGGAGGGTGAGAAAGCCAGTGGTAGATCAGCCTGAGTCCCGAAACCTCAAAAGGAGGGAAGTCAACAGTGCAGCCTTCAGTCTGTGGCCAAAGGCCTGAGAGCCCTGGCAAACCACTGGTGTAAGTCCAAGAGTTCAAAAGCTGAAGAACCTGGAGTACAATTTCGAGAGCAGGAAGTATCCATCCCGGGAGAAAGAGGAAGGCCAGAAGACTCAGCAAGTCTCCTCTGCCATCTTCTCCTGCCTGCTTCATTCTAGCCATGCTGGCAGCTGATTAGATGGTGCCTACCATGATTGACAGTGGGTCTGCCTCTCACAGTCCACTGGCACAAATTTTAAACTCCTTTGGCAATACCCTCACAGACACACCTAGGAACAGTACTTTGAATCCTTCAATTCAATCAAGTTGACACTCAGTCTTAACCATCACAACAAACAACATGAAAAATATTGATCTTTGGAGTTTATCTAACTACTAGTAGAGAACTTGAGATAATTAAACTTTCCATTCTACAGCAAGGATATTGTGCTTTCACAAATTTGCCTTCCTAGTCTTATATTAAGTTCATCACCCTCAACTGTCTAGTAAGGCTGAATTCACTAAAGCTGTAAACACCCCCCTGGACCAGTAATGATTACTTTTCCTTGAGCTCATGTCCATTTGCTACTGTTGATCTACATCTCTTCCACCATTTTGCTTCTGCTCTTCCCCACTCATTAATGTCCGTCTAACCTGGGCTAAATATCTAAGCTATATTTTGTTGATTTTTTTCTCCAGTGGGATATTACTTCCATTCCTACCTTTAATCAAATTTAGATACACAGTTGTTTTGTTGTTTCCTTTTTGTCCTCAATTATTGGGAGCCCAAAAGCAACAATTTTGGCTTTCAGTGAAAAAGGAAATGGGAAAGACATTTGGTGTCTTGCATGCTATGTAAACAATGGTACACCTAATTTACTTTATCATATTTAGATATTACTATTGACCTTAGGAAACAGATGGCTTTTTTTATTTTATAAGAATGAACTAGAATTGGGATGTCCCCAGCTTCTTTGGGAAGCCTGAACATTAATGCAAAAATTGTTTTGAAAAATCAAATTGATGTTTTCTCAATTGTGTATTTTTATTGGGGATGATATTGCTCCTAGGGGTACAAACCTTAGTTCTTGTGATGTGAACAAATTGTAGATAGCACATTAATTTATGGCCCCTGAATGCCGAACTCTAACAAAACCTTATCCTTTAGTATTTATTTTCTTTCACTTGGTTTTCTTGTGTATCACATGACAATCATTGACAATGAGTTCATGGAAGATACGAAAAATGTATGTGAGATCAGTGCTACAAACCAATGTGAAACAGATGGTTGTCATTGGTGGACTTTCTCTCCACTATGTGCTCAATCTCAGAGTAATACCATGTGATGTGGTCTCCATTGGCATATGAATAGGCTACCACTGGCTGTTCTGGGTATGTAACTTATGTTTGATCCTCAGTGCTTTCAAATGTATTATACGCTTTTATACAAATGCTTTGTATTTTATTATTAAATTGTATAAAAGTATTCCAAACACCAGTACTTATAGCAAGTGCTGAAAAAAACATGTTGACTATACCTGGATGAAAATCTAGCAGTTAGTGAAGGTAAAAATTATTTTCAATATGAAGCAAAACTAAAAGTAAAACAAATTAAATATTACAGGAATAATTTAATTTTAAATAGCCCCGAGCAGTTTTTCAAGATTTTTAAGTATTTGTATTATATTGATATAACATAGTTTATATAAGTATCTTTACTATATTGGCATATATATTTTTATATATTGTAACTTTATATGTTTCACTTGATTCATTATATTATGTTTATATTAATATAAATATCATTAATGTTTATATTAATATAAATAATGTTTATATTAAGTGAAATCACTCAGCAAATAATTTTTATAAAGTTAAATGTCAATATTAAATTTAACTTTTAGCATAAAATTTTTCTTACTCATTCTTAATGCTGCACTGCATAAACTGTCCACTTCGTTTTTTAAAACAAGCATGGATAGAAATATAGCACATCCATATATACACATAATATATCTGTGTTATTAAATTATCAGGAGGGGTTTACTTAGAAAAAAAAAAGTCAAACAGGACTCTAGAGGCTGAGAAAGGGAATGCAGTATTGAAAAGAAAACTGGTTGAGAAACTGAGAAACATTTCCCTAAGCCCATATAGAGAACACATAAAGGGAAGCAAAAAAAAGAAGTAGAAAAAAAATGCAGTTGCGTTCAGAAAATGGAAATTAGCATGTTCCCTATATAAGGCTGTGTACAAACCAAAGTATTCAGAGATCCTAGCGCCGGAGGTTAAGAGTCATCCATCTGAACCAGCTGAGCAGCATCTGCAACATCTATGATGGTCTTGCCCTTACATTTACTGGTGGCCCTTGTGGTGCTCGGCTACAAGTCATTCAGCTCTCTGGGCTGTGATCTCCCTCAGAACCACAACTTGGGTAACAGGAGGGCCTTGGTGTTCCTGGCACAAATGAGAAGAATCTCTCCTTTCTCCTGCCTGAAGGACAGACATGACTTTGGATTCCCCCAGAAGGAGTTCGATGGAAGCCAGCTCCAGAAGACTCAAGCCATTTTTGTCCTCCATGAGATGATCCAGCAGACCTTCAACCTCTTCAGCACAAAGGACTCATCTGCTGCTTGGGATGAGACCCTCCTAGAAAAATTCTACACTGAACTTTACCAGCAGCTGAATGATCTGGAAGCCTGTGTGATGCAGAAGGTAGGGGTGACAGAGACTCCCCTGATATATGAGGACTCCATTCTGGCTGTGAGGAAATACTTCCAAAGAATCACTGTATATCTGACAGAGAAGAAACACAGCCCTTGTGCCTGGGAGGTTGTCAGAGCAGAAATCATGAGATCCTTCCTCTTCATCAATCAACTTGCAAAAAAGATTGAAGAGTAAGGAATGAGACTTGGTGCAACATGGAAATGATTCTTATAGACTAACACAGGAGCTGACACTTCCACAAGCTGTGCCAATTCAAAGACTCTTGTTTCTGCTATAACCGTGCCATGAGTTGAATTAAATGTGTCAAGTAATTTCAGGAGTGTTAAGTGACATCCTGTTGGGCTGTATGGGCACTAGTCCCTTGCAGATGGCCATACGGATGGATCTAGTCATCTATTTATTTAAATATTTATTTATTTCACTATTTATATAGTTAAATTAGTTTTGTTCATATTATATCATGTGAACTTTTACATTGTGAATTGTGTAACAAAATTATGTTCTTTATATTTATTATTTTGCCTTATTAAATTTTTACTATGAAATATTCTTTATGTATTCTTTAAAATTGAACTCCAACCCTGGCTGTAAAAACTCATTAAAGAATGGATGGTACAATTCCTTTATCCATCCTCATTACATTCAAAGTATAAGTAAAAATTAACTTTGTCTAAATTAGGTTGTATATTGCCCTCAAGATAGCTAGGTGAACATAACAAATACAATTCCTGCTCTCTTGTATCTTTGTTTTTTGTAGGGAAAGAAATCTAAAACATTAATGATACTTAATATCAGTTATGTCAAATGCTATATATGAGAAGGAAGAGCCACTGAATTTCTCTCCCCACAAGGTAGACCAAGGCAGGTGAAGAAGTAAAAATAAACCCAGAAATATCCTCTACATGCTGACTGGCTGACATCTAAGCATAAATGTGCACTGCCAGTTGGATATAAGAGTTTGTGATTTATAAGGGATGCAATTGCTGGAGGTTCATATGTGGTAACTGAAAGCCCAGAAATGAAGGAGCTCGTGTGGGGAGGGAGAAAATGGCTTAAACATGATTCTGAGGACCTCCCACAGTTAAGAAAGGAAAGAGAAGAACCACAAAGGAAACAGATGGAAAGGCCACATATTAGGACAACAGGTGAAAATACTAGGGGAAAATGTTGATTTAAGAAAATTAATGTTCTGAAAAGAGAAATCAGTAGATTCACAGAAAGTGTAAGTTGAAACTGTCCACTCCCTTGGGAAAATGGATGGCACTGGCAACCTTATGAGAGTTGTTATGGTAAAAAAAAAAAGTCAGAAAAAACCGTACTGTAGCAGATAGAAGTATAAATAAGAGAAGTTAGTGACTCTGAAGGGGACAAAAAAATAGACTGTAATGAGGAAAAGAATGTGAATTACATTTTCAGGGCATAGTATTTCCTTTTTTCAATATATTTTTCTGCATAGATTTCATGTAACTGAGGTACAAGCAAACCATATTAATATATGTAATATATTTATTTTTAATCATGATATATTATATACATTAACAATGTATTAGTGTTTTAATTAATACTACTTTGAATATCAGTAAGCCGCCTAGCTTATGTTAATTTGTTAGTGAGTAACAGACACTAATTCAATCCTTCACCAAAATAATTAATGATGATAATATATTGACACCTGGAAGTACTGGCCTTATAAGTTGTTACTTAACTTGCATTGTTGTCACACTGGTTTACTACAGTTTTGCTGCATCTTTATAATCCATCTTAATTTCTTCTAGTGCTAGATATGACAAGAATTCTTTGTTTTAGGTGAGAAAATCCTGATGGCACACTTTGTTTCATTAACTTGACATCAAAATCTCTGTAGCTATATCCTATTTCATAGGACAAAGTTAGAAATTTGTGTACATTTAAAAATAACCACCACTTTAAAAATTGAACTATTTCTTATGAGCATATAATTATACACCAGGAATTCTCTCACTTATTTAAAATTTAATATCACTGTCAGTTCTTCCTTCCATCAAGATTTTATTTGTGTTTCTAATATGACATTTTTCATTGGATTTCTGCCTTTATTATTTTAAAATCATTTATTGAAAACTTCTTTCTACCATGTACATCAGCTATACCTTTTATCCTAAATATAATTACTGAAGATAATATAATTTCAAAGATTATATGCTTTAAAAGTTTGCCAATCTTATTTTCTCCTATATCACATTGTCTTTAGTATTACTATTACAAATTCATTTCATTTTCTAATTAGGAAAGTTATGCCAAGAAATCTTCTTTTTCTATTGTTTTGCATTATTAATGTATTATTCCTAATTACATTTATATTTCACCTGCTATGTAAACATTAATTTCATGAAAATCACAGGTTCTTCAGGATGCACAAATAACCAAACTGCATAAATATAATACTTAGGGAAAATTTCCTTATAAGACAGAAGAGTAAAACTGGATCAATGAAATTTTCTCCACTATCTAAGACAAAAAATAGTAAAAGCTGGCCCCCAAAATACAATAGCATGCAACAACTAAAAGAAGACCAAGGAGCAAGACATCTGTTTAATTTTGGAATCCAAGCTTTTTAAAAAAGTCAACAGCAATCTAATATATGAAACTTTTAACACTGCCCATAATATGTAATATAGAATTCCACATTAGATTCTGACAGTAATTCTGTGTGATCTAAGGAAATTCACTTAATTTCTCCTAGGTGAATTAGCCTGTCTTTGTAAGTAAATATAGGGTAGAAAATATTTATAGTTGTGAATGTTAAACAAACATTTAAAAACACTTAAAAGTATTTCTCACTGGAGGCTTAAGATAGTTAATCATTTTATTACCTTTGCACAAATATAAATATCAGAGTAGAGAACTAAGTCTGCCCCCACCCCTCAGTAACTACCTACAAAAATATGAGTCTAAAAAATGCCATTCTGGGCAGTGTTCCAGAGAACACTGAAAAATAGTCACCCTTAAGATGGGAGAAAAATCTGGTTTATATATTCAGTCAGGAAAATGCAGCTTGTAGAAATATCTGGAAGAGAAGTTAGTCTCCTAAACTGAAGTGACATAGATCTGTACATAGCACTAATTTTTCAGTTCTGATATCTGACATACTTCCGCCCTCTGCCCAGCCCCATTTTTCTGGATCCCATTTTTCATTCCCATATCATTTAGTTTCCTTTGTCTTCCTTTAGATATCTCTACTGTGCGCTCTTCCTCACTCCTCATTAACCTTCTCTGCCTCTTCATACAGCTGGTTTCTGCTCCCTTGCAGGTTTTGTTCATCAGTTTCCCTTTAAGAGTACAAAGCCAGCAATTAAAGGTAAAAGGTGAGTGTAAGTTTTAGTTTTTCCAGAAACCTGTATATAAGAAGCTCTTTTTGTTTTCTTTTGTTGAATACTTCTGAAAACAAGGGAATGCCCCTGTTACAGTGATATAACAGTAGCTGTAGGAAAAGGGGGAAAAATGGAAGATTTTACTTGGGGCCTACTACAACATTAACAGGGGCAGGCAGCCACCTACTGGCCATGATGGCCCAAGACAGCAGCCAGGTTTGTTGGGAGCAGGCAGTTCTGTTTATGCAGAAGTGTGTCCCTGGCAGGAGATTTTTCTTCCTAGGTGAAAAGGGCTCCTTCTCAGAAAGAACTGTTCTTGATATTGGAAGAAACCCATTTCCTTAGTTGTTGCATCATAGAGAGGGAAAATACTCCTAGGTCAGGCAGGACATGTCCTTTGGGCAATGGGCAGCTATGTGGAGAGAGAAAGGATCAGAATGTATCCATTGCCTCCAGCCTGCTCAGCCTCTCAAGACCGCCTGATTCCTCCATCCCTCCATGTTCTGTGCCCAGCTAGAAGGCAGGAGTGCCTGCCAATCAGGGTGTTGAACTGCAAGGAAATTCAGGAAAAACGTCTCCTATTTGAAGGTACATGAGCTCTTTCTTAAGAGTAAGTTCTTAGTTTTACAAATTACTTCCTATTCTAAGATTCTATCCCTTGACTTCATATCAGGAGAAAATTCTTACTCTTACACTGAATGACAATTAAGCTGGCATCAATCCCACCTGACTTGGTAGTTAAAGGGAACACTGGCACAAGAAATTTCAGAGGCCTCAATGAACGATTGCCAACTTTCACCTGTGCACTTTTTATATGGCTAGAATTGACACATATTGAGGTAATCTGCTCAGAATTGTAATTCAGGTAGTTTATCAGAAATTGTATGTGACTTGCCCAGGTGTTCTTTACTTAGGTAGTAGGGTGGGGTTTCAATTTGGCAAAAACCTCTCAAATCTCTGCCTCAGGTTAGAGACCCAACATTTAGATTGCTTCTCTCTTAGAGGGCCCTGTTTAACATGTTAAATAATTTTCTAGTATACAACGTCTTGTATTTGGTTTGTCTCCCTCAACTCTCTATTAAGCCTGAATTCACCAAAGCTGAAAGTGGCTCCCTAGATTGGTAATGATTACTTTTCTTTGCACTCATGCCCATTCATTACCTTTGATCTACATCTCTTCCACCATTTTGCTTCTGTTTTTCCTGGCTCTTAATGTCCATCTAACCTGGACTGAATATCTGTTATATTTTGTTAGTTTTTTTCCTCCAGTGGAATATTAACTTCAATTCTTACATTTTTATCACATTTAGATATACATTTTTTTTGGTCCTCATGTACTGCGATACACAAAGCAAAACTTTTGCTTTCTATGAAAAAGGAAATGAGAAAGATACCTGGTGTTTTGCATGCTGTGTAGAACAACTGTACAGCTCATTTACTTTATCATATTTAGATACCATTATTGACCTTAGGAAACAGATGGCTTTAAAAAATTTTTTTATAAAAATGAACTAGAATTGGGATGTCCCCAGGTTCTTTGGGAAATCTGAACGTTAATGCAAAAACTGTTTTGAAAAATCAAATTGGCTGGGCGCAGTGGCTCACGCCTGTGATCCTAGCACTTCGGGAGGCCGAGGCGGACGGGTAACTGGAGGTCAGGAGTTGAACACCACCTGACCAACATGGTGAAACCCTGTCTCCACTAAAAATACAAAAATTAGCCGGGCATGGTGGCACATGCATGTAATTCCAGCTATTTGGGAGGCTGAGGCAGGAGAATCACTTGAACCTGGGAGGTGGTGGTTGCAGTCAGCTGAGATCACACCATTGCACTCCAGCCTGGGTGACAAATGCAAAACCCATCTCAGAAAAAAGAAAAAAGAAAGAAAACAAAAATCAAATTGATGTTTTCAATTGTGTATTCTTATTGAGGATATTATAGGTGAATTGTGTTTCTTCTAGGAAACAGATCAATTGGTCTAGATTTTTAAAATTCATTCAGCTACTCTATGTATAATATTTTGATTGGAGAGCTTAATACATTTAGATTTAGTGCTATCATTGATAAGTAATGACTTACTCCGGCTGTTTTGTTGTTTTCTGCTTGTTTTGTGATCTTCTCTTTCTTTTTTCTTTCTTTCCTGACTTTAGTGAAGATGATTTTTTTCTGGTGATATTATTCAGTTTCTTTCTTTCCTTTTTTTTTTTTTTTTTTTTTTTTTTTTTTTTTTTTTTTTTTTTTCATTGTACATTTTTTT